GAATTATAGAACAACAGATCCTTCAGCCTAAAATTTTACAGTTGTCTGAAAAAGGAAGCAGCAAATTGACTTGAAATAAGTTAAGAGAAAAGAAAGAAAAGAGAACATTTTCTTTAAAAGATGATCAGTTATACCAGATGGTGAAAGAAGATAATGAAAGACACACTTGTGGCTATATAGTAAATTTCTAAAGGCTTGAGGGAGAGTAATCTTCATTAGAGAAATTCAAGCAATGAGAATGTTTAATAATTTTGTGTACCAACTCAAAACTGGTGTTTTAGGATCATTATCAGAAGAATGGCTCTTTGGTCTCTATAACACGTCTACAAATTTAATACGTAAGATCTGCTTCCAGATGAAACATGCCTCAGGGCTTGTATGTTATCAGATTATAGCTGATCTACACACGAAAATACCTACACACTGTGTAATTCCAGACATTATTAAACAAAATGGCAATGGATCTAGAATCCTTGTGGACAAAAGACACAACAGAGAGAAAGATTAATTGGAATAGAATGCATCAAGTCCAGATTGATTCTTCCTAGCTTATCATTAATCTGCCTTTTTGTATAAATGTAATAACACTGTGCCATGTTCTAGGTGGATGAATCAACAACATGTTGCCTACCAAAGAATTGTTGTATGTTGAAACCCACCCCTTAGTTCAGAGAACTTTTTGCCCTTCGCTTCAGAGAAATTACATCACTAAATTAGTCACCACATCTTCAGACCTTATATTAAGCCTTTAATCTTGTTACTATACATAGTCAATCCCCAATGCTAACCAAAACCACCCACATTTTCTACAAGTTGATTATGATTCATTGTCACTTTCTTTTTCTCCTATTACCACCCATTGGTTTAACACTAATAATCCATCAACCGTATAATCCTTAGCCAATGAAAGTAAGTCTCATGATTGTGTTTCTGTAACTGAAGAAGTGTCCTTGCCCCAGGCAGAATTTTTTCACTCTAATTGGAAATTACAATTACTATTCTTTGTTGATGGGTGTTATACTGAAAATATAAATAATGCACAATAGTCAATTTGATATATAATAAGTTCAGTCTTTCTCATAAAATACAATTTCTTATCAGAGGCCAAATGTTCAACAACTCAATTGTGGCCATTTCTAGCACATATAAAATTGCTAAAATAATAGAAGAGAAGGTCTATAAACTAATAACTGGTACACTTTCCAGATAATTCACTTCTTTAACTAGCTATAGAAACACCTTCTTCAGGCATTCTTGAGAAATGAACAACAAATGTGAATTACTCAGCCGGTGACTTAATTCTACCTGAAATAATCCTAAACTGCAGTGTTAGGACTCAGGGAGGATGAGCTCAACATTAGCTGCAGAGAATGACCAGAAGTAGAAGGGTAGGCGTTGGCTGCTAATCAAGAAGCTTGACCAAGCAGATGAGCACATGAAGAAGACTGTCTGACAATATACCTACAGCTTCACTGAAGTTGATCTCATCTCTTGTACACCTCTGGGCTCTTTATCCCATGCTGAACTCATGCTTCTTCATGTCAATCAAGAAACAAGATTGGTTGGGGCACCTGAGTGGCTCAGTTGGCTAAGCGTCCGACTTCGGCTCAGGTCATAATCTCACAGTCTGTGGGTTCGAGCCCCACGTTGGGCTCTGTGCTGACAGCTCTGAGAATACTGACCTCATCCTTAAGAATCAGACAACTTGAAGTTTTCATTTAAAAAAAATGGTTGGCACAGTAATGTGTACATTGGCTGACACAGTAAATTGTACAGTCTAAGCTCTGGGGGCACAAAAAAGCAGTTTAAATATCTTAACCCAAAAAGAACTAACTAATAAAATCACTCCAGATTTGCTTTTGGACAGCCAGGGAGGAGAGTCTACTCACTAACGCTAAGTAAGACTTCATATTGTACCTGGATTAACACTATAGGTGAGATAAAAACTATTTTTAAACTAAAAGAAAAGGCAAACTAATGGTCTTAGGCAGACACAGGGAATCTTTGGGACTGGCTTTGATCAGGACTAGAAAATCTTGGGTCGTGACTTGGGAGATCTTCCAGTCCCTTCTCATAACACTTCTACTTGTCTGCCTCAGAGTTGGTCAATGTTCGGTATCCAAAGCTTAAATGCTTCTGCACTGCCCTGTCCTGAGAAATGATTGAAAATTGTTGATTGATATACAAACTGGGCACCAGATCTCCACAGATGAAACTTCATCTTCCAGGAGAATCAACAACAGTGGTCAATATCTGGTTAATCCTTGATGGTCTCTCTCAAAGCTTTGGACCAAGAGTGGGAGCCAGAGAACTAAATGTTCCCACAAACTTAGGACAAGACTGTATGTTCTATAGCTTAGAGCCAGTCTTAAACTTGGTCTATCGATCAAGGGCAAGTTAACTCAATGGGCTTGTTTTGCAAGCCAACCCAGTAGTCTCAGTCCCAGGTCAACCTGGGTTGGGTTCTCTCCAGTAATCCCCTATTGGGATGTCAACCAATCAACAAATTTACGACTCATACAGATGATGTCAACCCACCTACACCCCTCAAAGTCTCCCATTGTCTGAACTCCACGCTTCCTAAAAATGCTATTTAAGATCAGCATTCCTCTCTGTTCAGAGAGATTGGTGCCTGGCCAGCATGGTTCTGCCATACTCTAGTAAATAATAAATTCAGCACTACCTTTTTATGCCAGATCTTTGGTAGTGTTTTTTTTTTCATCCTTTTTCAAGGGCAAAGCCCATCTCTCGTGTTGCCAAGTCCCATCTCAATGTCTGACATAGGTTAGGTTCTCAGTAATGTCTTTAGAGAAAACTCAGCAGATAAAGAAGGAAGAAGTATTATGTTTCCCTGGGTAACACAGCCTGTTGGTGGTAGAACTGTATTTAGAAATTTCGGCACCTGCTACCATGGAGAAATCAGGAGACCTGGTTTGTAATTAACCCTTCACAGTAACATGAGGACAGAGACAGTCTCATATTGTATGTGGAACCCTGGATCATTTGGAGGTCTTGCGAAGCCAAGACAAATCATTTTTTTAAAGTTATCTGGCAAAGAAAGAGAATGAAATAGTGCAGACAATTGTATAAAGGAAAGCACAAAGATGTCACAATGCTTTGTTTTTGCTGTCTCCAGAGCAGAGCAGCGAAAGCCTGCATCGCTTTGCAGTAAGCTTCACAAGAAATACTGTGACTGCTCTCCTTTTAAAGCTGTATTTGGTACTGATTGTAAACCGTTTACCTGGATAAGCATCCTGCAGAAGAGCATCCATGTAAGGAGGACCCTGGAAGGTGATCAGTCCTCTTGTTCCTGACCTGGGCTTGGCGGGGGGTGGGGGGGGATTCTTACACACATGGAAGTTCGAGACAGTTTGGTGCTGTGAGCACTCTTAGCCAACAGCACTCCTTGTTCAGTTTAGAAATCTAATAGGTCAGGGTTTCCCAAATTTGGCACTATTGTCATTTTGGCCTGAATTATTTTTTGTGGGGGCTGTCCTGTCCACTGTACAATGTTTAGCCCCACCCATCCCTTGCCTCTACATACCAGATGCTGTTAGAACTCTCCCCCAAACTTTGATAATCAGAAATGTCTCCAGACATTCCAAATGGTCCCTAGAGGGGCAAATCACCCCTGGTTGATACCTTGGTTCTAGATAAAAGGACAGGCAGCCTCTGACCCTCTTTTCCTTCTTTCTTCCAGAATGCTGCACTCTCTCCTCCATTACCTACACCTCTGGTCCCTCTAAGCTTGATTGACTGGTTATTGTTGGAATTAGCTACTGATCAGGAAAACACAATCATATTACAGCGCCCACAGCAGGTGTCTATCTCCCTCACTGGAGGGAACTTTCATGGGCACAGATGATGTCTTGTTCATTGTTTCACTCCCACCACCATCTCTATAGCTTGACGTGCTTAATTGAATTTATGTTGTTGTCTAGAGCCCATGACAGAAAACGGGGCTGTGTAGATTTCCAACCTCACTTAAATAGGTGAATTAGGCTCAAGAGATCACCTTGGCAAGGAGTTGGTCGGGGGTGGGGAGGGGCAATCCCCACATCCAATGGGTTCAGTTGTCATATATTTCCTGAATCGAAATCAGGGTCAGATTACTAAGAGTTAATAAGAAACAGGAAAGTGTGGTGGAGAGGGAACTAGAAGAAAACCCTCACTGTTGCTGTAGTGATTGTCCTACAGAAAATGCCGCTTGTAAAGAGCTGGGGAATTGTCTGCCTTAGATTTTTATTCTCCCCCCCCCCCCCATAGCTTGTCTGGGAAGGCAAACAGGTGGCCCTCAGCTGCACACAGGAGCCTGCCAGGGCTGGGGCTAGACCCAGAAAGCAGCACCACGGGCAGTGATGGCGCATAACAGACGCAGGCTCTGAGACAGGCGAAGATCTTTAATCTCCCACCAGGGGAAGAGGATGCTGCAGAATCCCGGATACTAATCCAGGAGACACTATATTTTGCAAAGCTAGTTGTTTTAATCTGCAAAGAAAAAAGCAGACTGGGTTGAAACATGAATTTGCTTTGCCCGATGTTTGACAATCTTTCTGCTAAGGCACCTTACCATCTGTCCCTTCCTTCCTCATCAAACAGCTCACTCCAAGGCCAGGAAGCTGCAAGGTTGTCTAGTAAAATAGCCCCAGACACCTACTTCTTGAGACCTCCTGAAGGGTGTGATAGAGTCACAGAATTTTAGAGCCAAATGGGACCCTGTGGAAGGATGTAGTCCAAACCCCTCATTTCACATATGGGGGAAAAAAATCCATCAGAGATGCTAAAGGCCATTTTAGCTCTGTGATACTGAGCACGTTGGAGCAAAATCAGCCTCTGGGGCTTTCTTCAGCTCCCCCAGTCTACCCCTTCCCCTCTTCCCCCACCCCTCCCCCCGAAAGAAAACTCAAAAGCTCACTTCCTACAAACTTTCAGCTCGGCGCGCTGGCGATAACGCCCGTCCGAGTGCCAGTGAAGTATTTGCAAGCGTCCAAGACACCCACCTCGGCAGCCTCCGCTATGGGCGAGGCGCTGCTGGTCTCCCTGGGGCCCACGCGGAACCTGGCCGCCTTGTAGATCTTCCAGTACACGAAGAGCACGACGCAGAGCGGCAGGTAGAAGGCGCCCACGGTGGAGAACACGGTGTAGCAGGGCTCGCGGCTCACCTGGCACTCCTCGCTGTCCTCGGAGTAGGTCTCCCCCCAGCCGAAGAGCAGCGGCGCCAGGGAGATCACGGCCGACAGCGCCCAGGTGAGCACGATCATGACGTTGGAGACGCGCCTGCGGGTGCGCAGGGTGTAGCCCAGGTGGCGGGTGATGGACCAGTAGCGGTCCAGCGCGATGGCCGTCACGTTCCAGATGCTGGCCGTGCAGCAGAGCACGTCGCAGGCGATCCACAGCTGGCACAGCCGCCTGCCCAGCTGCCAGCGCCGCCCGGACAGCTCGTGCACCAGGCTCAGGGGCATGACCAGAGCGGCCACCAGCACGTCCGAGATGGCCATGGACGCCACCAAGTTGTGCGGAACGCGATGGAAGGTGCGCACACGGAGAATGGTGGCCAGCACCAGCAGGTTCCAGGAGAACGTTGCCGCCACCAGGAAGCCCAGCAAGGTCAGAACCAGCACGCCGAAGACGGAGAGGAGGGCGCTGGGGCGCGAGTCTTCGGAGGCGCCCAGGCTGCTGTGGTTGGTCTCCCCAGGGGCGGGGGTGGAGAGGGAAGAGTGGGTTAGGTTCAGGGGCGAATCCATCTCTGGGTCAGGAGGCCCGCCCAGGGCGTGCGCAGAAGGGGGCTTCAGGAAGGACGGTGGCCACGGCGCCCGGAGCCACCCCGGGTGTTTGCAGCCGTGGCTGGTGGCAGGGTCTCTGGATTGTCCACGAAAGTGGCCCCAACCCCCTGCCGGCGAGCCTACGTGGGAGACGGTGTGGCGGAGAGGGGGCGCTGGGCTGCGTCTCGCAGCCGCGGCCGCCTAAGCTGTCACACGCCCAGGCTTTCACCCGGGCAGAGACAGCAGTCTGGCGGCCCCGAGCTGGGCATCTCAGGGGGCGGGGGGCGGGGGGCCGGGCGCCCCCGCGCGTGCGGGTGCCGGAGAGGGTGCCGGTGCGTCAGGGCAGGGCTCTCTCCAGGCAGCGGCTGCAGCCTCAGCTCCGGGCCAGGGAAGCCAAGCCGGGACCTGCCTTCTGCTCTCCCCTCCCTCCTCCGGCCTCGCCCCGTCCCCAAGCCCCTCCCCGTCTGGGGCTGCGGCTTCGGGGCGCGGAACACGGATCTACCTTATCACAGTGGGGACCCAGCCTGCGTCGGCGTCAGCTGACGCGGCGCCTCTGCGCGCCTCCCGCGCGCGCGGGCGCTGTCCGTGGTCCTGCCGCCCTGACCCCTGGGCGCGGGGCCCTGCTTCCCGAGATGGGCTTTCCTCGTGGCTCCGGTTTACCAGCGAACTTTCCTTGAAACATTCCTGTAGCCACCCCCTGCCCAGGGCCCTCTAGGGGAGGCCCACATACCTCCAGTGGGTCCTCAGCTTTCCGCAGGTGCTCACATTTTGTCTGTGTGTTTCAAGTTAAGGGTCTAAGATGAGATCGCTGGCTTTCCAGCTACTGAAGATTTCAGCACATTGTCGCATCCTTCCTACACAATGCCCGGGGCTTCCCTGAAAGGGTAGTTCTCCTTTAAAGAGAAAAGGCAAGAGAGTATGTACTGCTGTTCCTAGAGATGGTTGAGGCATTGGAGCTAGAACGTTTAAACTATTTCCTCAGAATCATAGAAAAGCTGCACAGTCTTTTCAGTGGGCCCTGTTAGATTTGCTCCCCGTGAAGGGAAACACTGGACACAAGTTATTATAAAAACTCCATCTCACTGGGGGAAAAAAAGGGAGCATTTAACTCTTTCCCTGCACATACACACATGACCATATATACATCCATCATAATTGCAAAAATATCAAAAGGTCCTACCCAGAAGTTATGACATAAAGCACTTTGCAAAGAGAGACACGATATACAAGATAAAATAAACTAAGAAAACAAATATGACAGCAAGGAATATAAGATAGCGTTAAGCATTTTTAAAGTACATACACGAGGCATTATAAAGTCCCGTACGTTCACAAGGTTGGTCACAAATTTGGTCAAAAGCTTTTTAGCTATTTGAAAATGAGAAATATGGGTTTTTAAAAAATGTTTTTAATGTTTATTATTTTTGAGAGAGAGAGAGAGAGAGAGCAAGGGAGGGGTAAAGAGAGAGGGAGACACAGAATCAGAAGTAGACTCCAGGCTCTGAGGTGCCAGCAGAGAGCCCGACATGGGGCTTGAACCCACAGACCATGAGATCATGACCTGAGCTGAAGTCAGCTGCTTAACTGACTGAGCGCCCCAGGTGCCCCAGAGAAATATGTTTTGTTAGAAGATTCAGTTTCTAACCGAGTACAGTAAGCAGAGGAGAATGCACTGGGAAGAGACAAACTTCTCCACCGGGGCCCATAACAGAGAATGCTGTTGGGAAATGTTGAGGAGAATATTCTTCATTAAATACTAGATTGTTCACAGAGCTGCTTCACCAAACCTCCCTTAAACACACCTGATGGTGGCTGCCTACGTACAGTGCTACTGTGTGTGGCTCTAGTCAAGGGAAAGCTTGTGCTCACTCAGGGCCCATTACTTTCTTGGAGCCATAGGACCAGCTGGGATGAAATGTAAACCATGAACCTCTATCTTTGAGACAAATACTCTGAACAATTCTGGGGCCCATGACCTGGAATAATGGGTGAGCTGCACAGCCAGTAGGCAGCAGGACTTGGTGATGGTATCTCCGGATACAGATCTGGAAAGGCATCATGGGATGTGAGTATATTCCCCCACTGGCACTGTGAGCTACAGATAGCTGTCTGCATTCATTGTGAAGTGAGATGCTGTCAAAGAAGAGACCAAGCCAAGGGTGACTTGAGGGTGTTTTGTAAAAACTGGAGTGTCATATGGGTAAGAATGAAGTCAAATGCTCTCAAAAAGAAGAAGTCCAATGGAGTATTTCCAGAACTCCCCCCTTCTTCTTCTTCTTCTCCTTCTTCTTCTTCTTCTCCTCCTTCTTCTTCTTCTTCTCCTTCTTCTTCTTCTTCTCCTTCTTCTTCTTCTTCTTCTCCTTCTTCTTCTTCTTCTTTAGAAATTCTGATCTATCTCTTATAGAAACTCAAAGAGGAATCAGAGATTCCAGTTTTTTATCTTAGAGCATTGTCATAATTTTACCCTGAAAAATATGTAAACAGTTATACAACTGCCGCCTGTCATGAAGCAGCTCTGAAATAGGAGTTTTGAGGAATGGAATTTCCTGGCATACCACTTGGGGGATGAAGTATGTCCCCTTCTCCCTCAAAATTCTTGTGTTGAAGTACTAACCTCCAGTACCTCAAAACATGACTGTATTTGGAAAGAGGTTTTTAAAAAGCTGATGAAGTTAGTCAGAGACTCCTAGGGTGAATCAGACTGGTGTCTTCATAGGAAAAGGAAATTTGGACACACAAAAGGACACCAGAAATGTGCACACACAGAAGGAAACCATGTGGGAACACAGCAAAAGGGTGACCATCTGTGAACCAAAGAGAGAGGCCTCAGGAGAAGCCAAACTTGATGACACCTTGATCTTGGAATTCTGGCCTTCAGAACTGTGAAAGAAAAACAGTAAATTGCTATTGCTTAAGCCACTTAGTGGGTGGTATTCTGTTATGGTAGCTCTAGCCAATGAATATACCATCCAACAAAAGATACAACCAAATTGATATACTATGGGGGAATTTATAAACACAATGACAAATTAAGGGACATATCTACTAAAACACACCTTTATAACATGTAGTTTGTGCTCATTCTAGGAATAACTAGACACAAGTTCTATTGTCTACTAAAGTTACTTATGACTTGTGATTAAGCCATATCATTGGCATATATAGAGATGCTTATTTTACATGTTTTTTATAATGGGAAGGTATGTATCCCTATTTGATTCAATTATAAACTAAAATTCTTTTTTTTTTTTTGAGAGAGTGAGATATAAAGTAAGTGGGGGACAGAATCCCAAGCAGGCTCCACACCATCAGTGCAGAGCCTGATGCAGGGCTCCAACTCACAAACCTGAGCCAAAATCAAAAATCAGATACTTAACCAATTGAGCCACCCATGAGCCCCCAAACTAAGATTCTTAATTACAAGTTTAAAGTGAGAAAAAATTAGGGCACCTGGGTGGCTCAGTCAGTTAAGCGTCCGACTTTGGCTCAGGTCATGATCTCACGGTTCATGGGTTCAAGCCCCGCGTCGGCCTCTGTGCTGACGGCTAACTCAGAGCCTGGAGCCTATTTCAGATTTTGTATCTCCCTCTCTCTCTGACCCTCCCCTGCTCTGTCTCTCTCTCTCTCTCAGAAATAAAACACTTAAAAATTAAAAAACATAAAATGAGAAAAAATTGGAAATGCAGAACATAACCTTATTTTACCCTGCTTGCAGGGTAAAGGGAGGGATAAGATATTTTCCTACCCACCAAACCATCACAATTTTATGAGATCAATAAATCATTAAAGCATCATTGTTATTATATAAAATCCATATTATAAACCAGGTATCAGATAAGTATCCCTGTATGGTCACACTTCAAAAAGAAAATTAAGGAATTGTTATCCCTACTTTATAATTGAGGAAATGGAATCCTGGAGATGAAGGAACTTGCCCAAAACCACATGAAATTTTTAAAATACTTATTTGTTTTTGAGAGAGAGAGAAAGAGAAGGTTAGAGAGGGAGGGAGACACAGAATCTGAAGCAGGCTCCAGGCTCTGAGCTGTCAGCACAGAGTTCGATGAGGGGCTCAAACTCCTGAACCGTGAGATCATGACCTGAGCTGAAGTCAGATGCTTAACAGACTGAGCCACCCAGGTGCCCCCCAAGTCTGTGTTCTTAATTGGTATGTTTTATATACATATAAATCAGGATTTCACAACAGTTATAAGCTAAGCCTTGGTCTTACTGCTAAAACAAAATACCACAGACTGTGACTTAAATGACATTGACCTGCTCACAGTTATGGAATCTGGCATTCTGACATCAGAGTCTCATCATGGGCAGGTTCTGATGAGGGGTCTTTTCTGGCTTGCAGATAGTTGAGAGATAGGGAGAGAGAGAAAGAGAGAGAGAGACAGAGACAGACAGACAGACAGAGAAAGAGAGCTTTCTCTTTTAAAGCCACAGTCCTGTTGGATAAGGCACCTCATGATCTCATTTAACTTTCTAAAGACTATCTCCAGATATTGTCACATTGGGGTTTAGGGTTTCAATACATGAATGGGGGGGGGTACAATTCCATCCTTAGCATCCTTAAGAGATTATTTCATGGTAAGAGAAAGACCAAAACTATTTACAGAACTCAATGTTATTCCCAACCAATTTTTCCAAAGGTGATCGAAAATAAAAATAACCAGAGGAGCCAGTCTGAATGGCCTGAAGGCTTACCTACTCCATATGCTTAGCAATGACCAGAAAAGCCCAGGCTTGCTGTTTGGTTAAGAAGGAAATGGAAATGTATTATGGATGGGATGACAAGATGCATCCAGGCCACAATTGAAGAGACAGTGGTCCCCGCACATTTAAAACAACTGCTTACACCTATTTATATACAAAAAGTCTATTGTTTTATTCATCTAGTCTATTTCACAGTAGAAAACAACCACACATCACAAAAGACTTAAAGCTAAGGAACAAGGTGCTGTCAGCTGGCGCAG